TTGTGACAATGTCTGACGTGGAAGAGGAGAGTGGTGCCGCGGTGGTCGATACCAATGCGGCGGAACCCGAACTTCCTGCACCTGCTTTCGATCTGCGGGCAATACCAGAGTTCGACGGTACCGGTGACGTCGTCAAATGGCTGGAGCAGGCGAAACAGCTGTGCGCCCTGAGACGCGTTTCCCTGGCCGCTGTTTTGCCGACGCGCCTGCGGGACCAGGCGTACGAAGTTTGGGCCAGCCTCTCCGAGACCGAGCAACGAGACGCTGAGATCGTCCGTGACAAGCTGCACAGCGCCTTTGCCATGGGACCGGACGCCGCAATGTCAGAGCTATATCGTCGACGTCTGGAGCCGGGTGAGTCTGTTGATGCTTACCTGGGCTCCATCAAACGTCTGATGTCTCTAATCGGCTATGTGTCCAGCACGGTCATGACGGCTCATTTCCTACAAGGCCTGCCAGCGGAAGTGCGGCTGACGGTACGAAACAGCGTTGGAGATGGCACGCTCACCCTGGAGCGAGCGGTCGCCATCGCCCGGTCGACGTTGGCGATAACTGCCAGGGAGAGAGCGGCTGCACCGGTGGCTGCCGTCCAACTGCCGCCACCATCGGTACAGCAACAGCGGGCGACCAGAGGAACTGCTCGCCGGCCACCGTTGCGGTGCTGGACCTGTGGCCAGATGGGCCACATCGCCCGGCTCTGCCCAAACGGACGTGGCGACGGCGCTACATCAGCGCCACGGGCTCCGCCGTCGCCAGCCGCCGCAACAGCCCGGGAACGCCCATCATCGCCATCACCGTGAATGGGCACAGGTGCCGAGCACTGGTCGACACGGGATGTAGTGAGACAGTGGTGTGGAAGGGCGTGGTGTCCCAATGGGAGCAGAGTGACACCAGTTTGGTGGCTGTCAACGACAGCCCAGTTCGGTGTTGTGGGCAGGCTGCGGTGAGCCTGGGTGTGCGCGGAACGACAGTGAATGTGCGGGCGGTCGTCGTACCGGCCCGGTTGTTAGGCGTGGACGTGTTGCTAGGTATGACAGGCATCGACGCTCTGCGTGGCGTAAGTGTGAGTGGGGGGTCTGTTCGCTTCGGGAGCGAAGACCCGGCTGCTACGGAGCAGCGTGAGGCCCCGCCGGAGCGGGAGGTGTGCCGAGCGGTCGGCACGGCTGCAGGCGTGCAGCGTGAGGCCCCGCCGGAGCGGGAGGTGTGCCGAGCGGTCGGCACGGCTGTGGGCGTGCAGCGTGAGGCTCCGCCGGAGCGGGAGGTGTGCCGAGCGGTCGGCACGGCTGCGGGCGTGCAGCGTGAGGCCCCGCCGGAGCGGGAGGCGTGCCGAGCGGTCGGCACGGCTGCGGGCGTGCAGCGTGAGGCGCCACCGGAGCGGGAGGCGTGCCGAGCGGTCGACATGGGGCCAGAGTTGAGGATCAACGAGACCGACTTCACGGCAGTGTTCGATGCCGGGGTGTGGACGGTTCGCTGGAAGTGGGCGGGCGGTGTGGACCCGCCACCGCTTCGCAACTCCACGGCTCAGTACGGCATACCGAGGGGTGCGCGAGAGAAATTCGATGCCGAGCTGTCATTGTGGATAAGTGAGGGCTGGCTACGTGAATATGACGAGACGGTGTGCGGTCCGGCACAGGGACTGCTCCCGTTAATGGCGGTAACTCAGGCGGCAAAGAACAAGGTGCGGCCGGTGCTTGATTATCGAGAGCTTAATCAACACCTGACGCCTCACACGGCTGACGCGGACGTCTGCGTGGAGGAGCTTCGACGATGGCGACGCCACGGCCGCCGGGTCGCGGTCCTCGACCTGAAGAAAGCTTTTCTTCAGCTCCGTGTGGACCCGGCCCTGTGGCCGTACCAGACGGTCATCGTGCGGGGGCGACGATACTGCCTCACGAGGGTCGGCTTTGGGCTTTCCATAGCGCCTCTGATCATGAAGTCGGTGGTCAGGGAGGTGCTCGCGCAGAACCCGAGGCTGGCTGAGGCGGTGCGGCCCTACGCCGATGATCTGCTGGTCAACGAAGCAGCCGTTTCAGCTGACGAGGTGGCCCAGCATTTTGCCCGTTTCGGACTCGAGTGTAAGCCGCCGGAGCGAGTTGCGAGCGGCGCACGCATGCTGGGCCTCCGTGTCGCCGAAAGTGACGGGCCGGCGCTCCAGTGGACCAGGGACGGAGGGTCACCCACGCAGCCTCCACCTGTGCTGACGCGACGAACTGTCTTCGCGTGGGCCGGCCAACTGACATCTCACGTGCCGGTCGCGGGCTGGCTACGGCCGGCCGCTGCGTGGATGAAGCGGACAGCCAACCGTCTCAGCCCGGACTGGGACACTCCGATCGTCAATGAGGAACTGCAACGCCAAGTGGATGAAGTGTCGCGAAGGGTGATAGCCTGTGACCCGGCATGCGGCCAGTGGTGTGTGACAGGGTCAAATGTCACCGTGTGGACTGACGCCAGCTCCATCGCTCGCGGCGTCGTCCTAGCCGACCCTGTCACAGACGCCATCATCGAGGATGCGTCCTGGCTACGGGCCGAAGCTGAGCGGGACGTTCACATCAACATCTCGGAGTTGGACGCCGCTCTCAACGGCGTCAATATGGCCCTGGCATGGGGCTTCCGTCGCCTGACGCTCCGGACGGACTCGGTGACTGTGCACCGCTGGCTGAGCGATGCGCTGTCGGGCAAGGCAAGGCTGCGCACCAAGGGGCAGTCCGAAATGCTTATCCGACGGCGCGTGGCTGTTTTCCGTCAGCTGGTCGCCGAGTACGAACTTGAGGTCACCATCGAACTGGTCGGCTCAGCTGCCAACCGCGCCGATGAGATGACGCGGGTGCCCAACGCCTGGCTACAGGCCGCCGATCGGCCGGCCGCCGACTCGCCCGACAAGTCACCACCGGCTGCTGTCGCAGCCATCACATCGAGTGCCTCGCCGGGCGACATCCGCGCCATACACGAGAACATTGGCCACCAGGGCGTGAGGAGGACGTTGTGGTACGCCCGACGGGAGCTGGGGGTGAGGCGCGTCACGAAGACGGCCGTGCGGGACGTGGTCAGGCGGTGTCAGACGTGCGCGTCGATTGACCCGGCTCCGGAACGCTGGCTTGGTGGGTCACTTGAGACGGAACGTACGTGGGATCGCCTGGCCATGGACGTCACCCACCTGCACGGCCACCCGTACCTGACGTTGGTGGACTGCGGGCCGTCGCGATACGCCATCTGGCGCCGGCTGCGCCGGTCGGGGGCTCTGGAGATCGTCCAGCATCTCGAGGACGTGTTTCTAGAGCGTGGAGCCCCGGCCGAAATACTCACGGACAATGCGACGGAGTTCCGCGGCCGGGCTATGATGGCGCTCGCGGCCCGCTGGGACGTGGCGATGCGATTCCGCGCCGCCTATGAGCCCGGCGGTAACGGCGTTGTAGAACGCCATCACCGGACCATCAAAGTGATGGTGGCCCGGCAGGCCTGCTCCGTCGCTGAGGCAGTCCACCGCTACAACGTGACACCTAAAGATGGCAGCGACCCGGCAACAGCTCCGATCAACGAGGTGTTCCGACACCCTGGCCGCGACGTTGACGTGACGCCCCGCGGACGAACAAATGGACAACAGTGCGACGCCCTGCCGCTGAAAACACCAGGTGTGTACCAGGTGGGGGACAAAGTGTGGGTCCGGCGGCGGGGCGACCGATGTTTTGTGAAATCGGACGAGGGAACTGTGACAGGCGTCGTGTCGGCTCAAACAGTCGAAGTCGACAATGTGCCGCGTCATGTGCGCAATCTCCGCCACCGTTTGACCATGACTGATGCCCCGAGACCGGTGACTGTGCACGCCCCGACGGCGGAGCGGTGCGAGGACAGTGACAATGAATGTGATGGCATGTATATGGCAACACCTCCGACTGATGTAACGGAGACACACACGCGGCCGCCGACCGTCGATCAGACCGCGAGGGTCGATCCACCGACCCAGTCTGAGGTGTCTACGGAATGGAGCGAGCCAATAGACGGCGAATTGTCCGAGGGAGAATCACCCGCGACCGTTACATTGCGACGCAGCGTACGTGAGCGACGGGAACCAGACAGATATGGTATTGTTGTGACGGGGGATGTACTTGATGAGTTGAGTGAATGACATGATGTGTGATGTGGTTCTTTAGAACCAGGGGGTGATGTAGCATGATGGACACAATAAGGAATGTGAGTAGCGTATGAGTCAGGCGCGCGGCGAGACTGAGCTGCGGGACGTGACCCGGTGACCCAGTGTGAGTCATCCGCCGCCGCCGCCGGACGTCGGGGCGGCCGGGTTACGCCCCCTGATCAGTTGCACTGGGGATGACGTATGACAATGTGATTGGCTAATGATGATGCGCGATGACGTGTGCGTGAGAGCTATGGTCTGGTTGGGAGTGTGATTGCTGGGCAGTTGGCTGAGAGGCTCGGAGGAGAGCGGAATATAGTTTTCTTGGTTACGTGGAAGCAGGAGTTCTAAATCGCTTCATGGTTGATGAGATATAAGCCTTGCAAAAGCGTCCGCACGGCCGGCCGCTCATACTCATACTCATAAATTTCCGATAATCTAGGAAAAGACTATGCTCGTTTCGCTCGCTCCGTAATGAGTGAGCAGCAGCTGCAGAAGCCAGAAATGCAGGATTTTACACACACAAATTATTTTGCCCACGACCCACAATATCTGGCAATTCCTATAGGACAAGAACAACACAGCAAGTTCCGGTTAGTGGGGGCTCCGTCCTTGCAGGGCCCATTTCCATTCAAAAGGTTCAGAGTTCAGACTATATTTATTTAAAAAACTAGGTACCCTATTTTCCCAGCCCCAAAATCTCATCAGATTTCTATCATGATCAATCTCAGAGAGTGCCCACTCTGAGATGGGAGGGGCCAATTTGCCCCACTTTGACTTGCCCCTTGGGGAAGCTAATGCACTGAGGGTTGAGATTTGTAACAGGTAGATATTCATCCTTCAGCCTCATCAAATTGTATGTAATGCTTACCTTTTTGTAGTGAAATACCACTGCAACCTGAAACAAAGCCAAACCCTTCATTTAGCAATTATTATGTTGAAGGAAAACCTATGCAATAGATAACTCATCAGAGATCAAAGTGTATTGATCATATTGGGGAGATCAAGGGGAATTCCCAATCTCATACCCTTCAAGCGATTTTCTGTCATCATAACAAGCTACCGATATTGAAACATAGGTAGCCTTGACATCCGGGGCGCAATCTGACCAATGCTGAGAATAGAAGTCAAAGTTGGCGTCAATGGCCAGAGCTAACCGCAATAATATGAAATGTTCCTATGCATTTTAGTTCCATCAACCAAATCTCACCATATGTGTTAAATGGTGTGGATTGTTATGAATGTTGCCTGAACGAAGGAATGTTGAATGGTTATGAACGTCACCAAATGTCATTATCATTCACAGCATTTGGTAACAGGGTATATTTTGGTAAGATTCAGCTCAGTACACTTGTTCAAGAACAGCCCAAGCTTTGAGAAACTGAGTTCATTTGATGAATGGATGAATGTAAATCTGAGCCAAGTCTGGGTAACTGGTGATTATCCCAACTTCATCCCAACTAGGAGCCCAACTGCAAGTGGAAGATACGAAAGAAGAATACAAATGAAAAACAGTTGATAAGAAGTGCTTGTTCATCTTTATCACTCACCAACAAGCAATATATCAACCTACTTTCATCCAACTCAAATAATCACAAAAAAATGATGCATCACGCAAGTGTACACGTGCTTTTTTCGCGTCACTTTGGTAACTGGTTCGCTAGAAACGCCGCAGTATATAAGCACATTTATTTTACTGCAAAATACCTTACAACAGCAAAATATACGCAAAGGAGATATCGTAAGTGTAAGTGCAGACGGCTCCTTCCAATCCATTCCCTTCTGTTCTATCTCTCATCCCATGTCCAACATGTCCAGCTGGTGGCGACCTCTACATTGTAGCCACGAGCTGTTGGTTGGTTCTGGTTGCTAGTTTACTTTCTAGATGGCGCTGCTAGTGACGTTGTGGAATGGATAGTGGTGAACGGTGTAGAGTGAATTTTCGGACATGTTTTCATTCGGTCATCTCTAAGTCGCTGATGTGTCAAGAAGGATGAGAGGGACACGTGAGAGAGCATTGTTGTTTCGCATTCTCGTAGTTGGAAAGGAAACAGATCTCGGTAAGCATTATGTTTATCATTTTGCATGTGTAATTATACCGTCGGCGTGCCTTAGATGAGCCAGATGAATGTTAAACATGTCAAGGCCGTGCTGAAATACCATAATTATTTTTGTGGCATATATGGCGCACTTGCCAGATATTATTGTGAAGTGGAAATTAGTTGTATCTGTTATTATGCGAAAACATATGATATATTCGTTGTGGTGGGGGCGCTACTGGCTCGTTGTTGGTTGAGGCGAGCCACTGATTGTTTTTTGTTTGCGTGTTCGGTACAGATACAAAGCGTCTGACCACCGAGTGAAGCTGAGACAAATACATCACCGATGGCGGACCGGTCATGAGACTGTTATACACTGGAGGAGGCTACGAGGACGTGGGGCAACAATAGTATCGAGATCTTCTTCAGAAAGCTGACAGCTGCGGCAGTTCTGCATGGGCTGTGAGAGCATCCATGGCCTCTCGGATCCTGCTTGCGGCTGCAGTCTGCACATCTTGGGACGGAGCAGCAGCGCCAGCTGAGGCCTGAGAGAGCTGCTGTCGGAGTCTGGTGTTCATCTCCAGTAACAGATGAGGTGATGAACACTGATCAAAGAGTGATCTAGTTGGTTTTTTAATACTGAGAAACATTGTTTGTGTGCTGTCCCAGTAGAGTAAGCTGATTGGATATTGTGTTGGTGCAGCTTTAAGGATCCCGTTGTGCTGCGTTTTGTGTTTGCATTTGTTATTTTAAGGTCTCAGAGTGCAAATGCTGTGGTAGAAGCTAGTTGTGCTGAGATTCTGCACACTACCCAGATGACTGTTTGAAATTGCCTCCCTAATTTGTCCCTTGCCGAACTTTGATTGCTTCCCATCATCTTGTGTGATAACCCAGCCCCTTTTGACTGGCATAACCCTGACATTCATTGACCTGAGCTCACTGATACCCCTGCCGTCTCTCCCTGGGTTACTGATACCAGCCTTGATACCCTCACCTCGGAGATGAACATTGACGAACTGCAAAAGGAAGAGCTCAAGAGTGAACTGAGCAAGAGAGGAGAGGACGTTAGAGGAACCAAAGCTGTCCTGAAGGAAAGGCTACAGCAAGTCCTGAAAGAAGAAGCCATGGATGGTGGGAAGCCCCCAGAAATCGAGAAAAAGAAGGAAGACATCAAAGAGGATGATGAAAACTCCACAAGCTCAAGCTCAAAACCAGCATCAAGTGCGCGGACTTCAGCGAGCATACGCTCAGAGAGAGCAATAGAAAAAGCCAAGCACGCGGGTCTGCTGGCGAAGAAGCGGGCTCTGCTGAAGAAGCACCAAATAGAAGCTCAAGAGGCGCAACTGAGAAAAATGAAAGAGGAACTCGAACTTCAGGCAGAGATCGATGAGTGTGCAGCAAAGGAAGAAGTTCTTGGCCGGTACGAAGATGCAGTGATTCAAGATGACAATAAAGTAATGTCTCTACAAGAAGACCTCAAGGACAAGGAACGCAGAGATCCGGTTACAGCTACAGGAGAAGAGACAAGGTGGCCAAGAGCGACCAAGAAGAAAAACAGAGAGCCCAGAGTAGCTGCAGACGAAGTTGAAAACGGTTCAACGCCAGGTGCGGAGCCTCATGTTGAGGTCAGAGCCTCATCGGCCAGTGCAGATCTACAGCTCATGAAAAGGATAAATCTGCCCGAACTGAAGTTGAGTACGTTTGATGGTAAGGCTGAAGCTTTCAAACCATTCATGAGAGCGTTTGAAACCAATATCGCGTCGAAACTAAATGATGAGTTTGAAAAACTGATGTATCTCATGCAAATGACAAGTGGTAAGGTGCGTGAGATTGTATCCACGTGTGTCCATCTGCCTCCAGACAGGGGATACCAGGAAGCGGTCAATCTGTTGAACCGAAGGTACAGCAACAACACGCAGACTGTGTCGAGTCTGATTGAAGGCCTGGTAAATCACCCAAGTATCAAGCCTGATGACGTTGATGCGTTGGACATGTTCAGCATCCATCTCCGTGGAGCGTACAACGCTCTGCAGACCATCCCAGGTGGCATCTCTGATGTTGGTCCGAAGACCATTGGACGAATAGTAGAGAAACTTCCATTCGGAATGATGGACAGATGGCGCAGGGAAGCTGATCGCATTGAACATGCCGAGAAGAAAACAGCAGAGCTCAAGAACTTGGTTGATCTAGTCGAACAAGAGGCTAGAGTCGCAAGGCATCCAGTCTATGGCAGGCAAGCGTTGAGCACACAGAGAAAAGATGCGAAGGTGACACCTACGAAGCACCTGAAAACCATGACTGGAAGTGTCAGGACTGATGCTGCTCTAGCCAAGAGGTGCAGGTACTGTAACGGGGACCACACGACCGACGTCTGTAAGGAACTGGCTCGGAAGTCCGATCCCGAAAAGAAGACGTTCGTCATGCAGAAGGGCCTCTGTTTCTCATGCCTCGAGTTCGGTCACAGGGCAAATGACTGCAAGCTCAGGGCGACGTGTCAGACCTGTAAGAAACGACACCCAACCGCTCTACACAGGATCACAAGCTCGACATCAAGCTCTACCGAGACCGTCACTACTGGCCACATCGCCTCCAATCGTGTCGCTGGTGGCGCCAAGCTTCAGGCCGTACGGGTCACGGTCAAATACAAAGGAGCCGCTACATCAACACTAGCTTTCCTCGACTCCGGAAGCACCCATTCGTTTGTTTCACAGGATCTGGTGAGAAAACTCGGCATGACACCACAGCAGAAGACTTCAGTCATCTTGTCTACAGTAAGAGATGAGTCGAAGCTGGAGAGCAGCCTGGTGACACAGGTGTGCATCGAGGACCTTCAAGGCGAGCACACCATGGAGCTGCCTCCGATGTACATGCTGAACAAGATATCGATCAGCCCGGAAGATCTCCCATCTGAAGAAGATTTGCAGATGTGGTCTTACCTATCAGAAAATGGAGTGAAGTTGGAGAAAGTTGACCCTGACTGTGAAGTGGGCCTCCTGATCGGGAACAACGCAGCAGCTGTTATGGAACCCATGCAAGTAGTTCAAGCTGTAGATGGTGGACCATATGCCGTACTGACGAGATACGGCTGGATACTGGGAGGAGTGAAGAAGGAGGGCAGGACGTGCCATCTGAATCGCATCAGTGTGCACATGGACACAGACAACTGGTTTGAGAACCAAGCCGACACGAGGAAAGGACTGTCCGTAGAGGATATCCAATGGTGTGCCCTGATGGAAACAGGCTGTGTGAAAAAACCTCATGGATATGAAATCAAAATGCCTTTCCGAGAGAACGGAACGCTGCTGGGTAACAACCGAGAGCAATCAGAGAAGCGACTGGAGTCGCTGAAGAAGAGGTTTGAGAAGGAAGAAGTGTACGCCGCGGAGTACACAGCCCAGATGGCGGACTTGCTACAACGAGGGTACATCGAGGAAGCTCCGGAAACATCGGAAGAAACCGGCAAGTGGTACCTACCACACTTCGGTGTTCGAAACCCGGCAAAGAAGAAGGTGAGAGTGGTCTTCGACTGTGCAGCGAAACACAACGGGATATCGCTAAACGACAACCTGCTGCAGGGCCCCGACCTTACGAATTCCGTCTTTGATGTCCTTGTACGTTTTCGTGAACATCCGTATGCCTTTACCGGTGACATAGAGGCTATGTTCATGCAGGTGGAAGTTCCAGAGTACCAGAGAGACTACCTACGCTTCCTGTGGTGGGCAGACGGGGACGTGTCGGCGCCACCGAAGGAATACCGAAACACACGGCATCTCTTCGGTGCGAAGTCCTCTCCGAGTTGTGCGAATTTGGCGCTCCACATGACAGCCGACGACCATGGTGGCGGAAAACCGGAGGCTTGCAACACCATCCGACAGAACTTTTACGTCGACGACGTATTGAGATCGGTCAGGAGCGAAGAGGCCGCCGTCAGCCTGGTGAAGGACTTGAAGGACGTGTGCGCATCAGGAGGTTTTAACCTCACCAAGTTCAACAGCAACAGCGCAAGGGTGCTGGAGTCTGTTGCCAGTGAAGACCGAGCCAGAGAGGTGAAGAAGTTTGAGCTGGACGCAGATGTTCATCCTGTTGAGCGCACCCTTGGAGTCCTCTGGGACACGAGGTCGGACACCTTCGGGTTTCAGATCGACGTGGACAAATTGAAGAGGAAGCCGGTTACGAAGCGAGGCATGCTATCAGTAGCAGCTTCATGCTACGATCCCCTGGGCCTGGTGGCGCCGTGCATCGTAAAAGGAAGAGCATTCATTCAGGAGCTGTTCCGCCTGAAGGTCCCCTGGGACGCACGTGTGCCTGACATGATCAGAGAGCGATGGGAGCGTTGGCTCCATGGTCTGAGACATCTCAAAGACTTCGGTGTCCCGAGATGTTTGTCTCCCAGAGGTGCAGAGCGAGCTCAGATCGAACTTCATCATTTTGCAGACGCCAGCACGAAGGCCTACGGCACCGCTTCGTACATGCGCACCGTTTACGTGGACGGAAGTATCCACTGTGCACTTCTGACGAGTAAGGCACGCCTCGTTCCTCTGAAGTCAATCAGTGTCCCCCGGTTGGAACTGACTGCTGCTAAGTTGGCCGTGCAGGTCGGTCAAGAGCTGAGCCGCGCCCTGAGCGTCGAAGTCGCCAACTTCTACTGGACGGATAGCACCACGGTGCTAAAGTATATCCAGAACGTGACAACGAGGTTTCACGTGTTTGTGTCAAACAGGCTCGCGGTCATCCACGACGGTTCATCGGTGGAGCAATGGAAGTACGTGCCAACAGAGTTGAATCCGGCCGACCTCGTGTCCCGCGGCACTGATGCTTCCAGTCTGTCTGACAGTGAGCTCTGGAAGCAGGGTCCTGCCTACCTGTGGCGCACCAGTGATGAATGGCCGACGTGTCCCGAGAATATGAGACTCGAGAAGACAGACCCAGAGGTGAAGACAAGTGCATCAGCTGTCTTCTCGGCTGCGACGACAGCTAACACTGGGACGAGAGACGTGACACCGAGAGAAACAACCGCTTCAGCAACAGTCTCTGAATGCTCAGAGGCACCAAGGAAATCTCCTGTGGAAAAACTGGTGGATCACTACGGATCTTGGAAGCGCCTAGTGCGCGCGGTGGCGCTGCTGCGCCGAGTGTTCGCCGTACTCAAGGAGAAGTCTCGAGAAAAGGCAGCACGAGATGACAGGGAATGCCATTCATCGGCCTCACGAACGGCCCTGACTCCGGGTGATCTGAGTGAGGCTGTACTGTGCATCGTGAGAGACGCACAGAGGAGACACTTCGGTACAGAACTCTGTGAACTTCGCGCAGGAAAAGAGGTTCGTCCGTCAAACCGTCTGATACGTTTGAGCCCTTTCTTGAAAGATGATGTCGTAAGAGTAGGAGGCCGGCTTAGAAACTCACACCTGTGCAGAGCAACGAAGCACCCTCCGATACTCCCGAATAGGGACCGGCTGGTGGAACTTCCTATTCAAGACGTGCACCAGAGAGCTGGGCATGAGGGTAGGCAGCATGTTCTAGCCGATCTTGGTCGGGAGTACTGGATACTGGGCGCCAACTCTGCCGTTCGTCGAACCCTGAGTCGCTGCGTCAGCTGCCGTCGGCGACAGAGGCCTCCTGAGAGTCAGCGCATGGCAGATCTGCCTGAAGACCGAGTGCGGGAGGGCGAGAAGCCGTTCAGCAGTACCGGCGTGGACTATTTCGGTCCTTTCTTTGTGAAGAGAGGGAGGGGACAGATCAAGAAGTACGGCGTAATCTTTACCTGTCTCGTCGTGCGAGCCATTCACATAGAGGTCGCTGAAAGTCTGACCACAGACTCCTTCTTGTGCGCGCTGCGAAGATTCGTAGCTCGCAGGGGCACTGTGCGCCTTCTGCGCTCTGACCAAGGCACAAATTTCATAGGAGCCGAGCGAGAGCTGCGAGACGAGCTCTCGAAACTCTTGCAGAAGGGAGAAGAGATCAGAAGAGCGGCTCTGGAAATGAACATCGAATGGCGTTTTAATCCCCCTCACGCATCGCACTGCGGAGGCCCGTGGGAACGGCAGATACGTACTGTAAGGAAGATCCTCGGAGCTCTGCTGACACAGCAGTCATTCACTGATGAAACCCTTCACACTCTGCTGTGCGAGGCAGAATGTATCATGAATAACCGTCCCTTGTTTCCAGTCAGCGCTGATCCCAGAGATGATCTGCCGATCACGCCAAACCATCTGCTTCACACGAGTTGTGTGACACTCCCTCCCTCTGACTCACCTGTCGAGTGCGACCTTGTGGGTAAGAAGCAGTGGAAGCAGGCGGCTTACCTGGCTGAGATATTCTGGCGCCGGTGGCGCAGAGAGTATTTACCGTTCCTGCAGCAGAGACCTGGGCCCAACACGCGGAGCAAAGCCAACGTGAAGAGAGGAGACGTAGTACTCCTAGTAGACGAGTCTGTGCCTCGGGGAGTTTGGCCAATGGGACGAGTAGAAGAAGCCATACCGAGCACCGACGGACGGGTGCGCTCGGTGCGGGTCCTCGCGCGCGGCACCATCTACCACCGGCCAGTCAACAAGATCGTCAAGATCGTTGGAGGAGAAGAGTGAAGTGAAGTGCTGTTTGAAGCGATAGAAGAGCATTGGAAGAGCGCGTGCATGAACTGGTGTCAAGCAAGCTGCTTTTTTCGTTTGAAATAAAAATAAGAGTTTTGATGCGCAGATGGCGTCATCAAAAAGGGGAGGGTGTAAGTGCAGACGGCTCCTTCCAATCCATTCCCTTCTGTTCTATCTCTCATCCCATGTCCAACATGTCCAGCTGGTGGCGACCTCTACATTGTAGCCACGAGCTGTTGGTTGGTTCTGGTTGCTAGTTTACTTTCTAGATGGCGCTGCTAGTGACGTTGTGGAATGGATAGTGGTGAACGGTGTAGAGTGAATTTTCGGACATGTTTTCATTCGGTCATCTCTAAGTCGCTGATGTGTCAAGAAGGATGAGAGGGACACGTGAGAGAGCATTGTTGTTTCGCATTCTCGTAGTTGGAAAGGAAACAGATCTCGGTAAGCATTATGTTTATCATTTTGCATGTGTAATTATACCGTCGGCGTGCCTTAGATGAGCCAGATGAATGTTAAACATGTCAAAGGCCGTGCTGAAATACCATAATTATTTTTGTGGCATATATGGCGCACTTGCCAGATATTATTGTGAAGTGGAAATTAGTTGTATCTGTTATTATGCGAAAACATATGATATATTCGTTGTGGTGGGGGCGCTACTGGCTCGTTGTTGGTTGAGGCGAGCCACTGATTGTTTTTTGTTTGCGTGTTCGGTACAGATACAAAGCGTCTGACCACCGAGTGAAGCTGAGACAAATACATCACCGATGGCGGACCGGTCATGAGACTGTTATACACTGGAGGAGGCTACGAGGACGTGGGGCAACAATAGTAAGAGTTAGAAAAAAATAGTGACATTGAAATAAAGACCAAGACAAAGGTTTTACGGAAGTCGGCGTAAATCACATTCAAAGCGTAATGTCCTTAAAAATGAGAAGCAGTGGTTATATTATCCAATATTATCCAATCGATCCAATCTAACGCTATACAATGGACATTGAAATATTAGACAAGCCAAGCTTGCTAATCTAGTGCGTTTGAATGACCTCCTGTAGTCCTGTGACTCTACGTACAGCCTTCTGCACACTGCGTGGTGGGTATTCTTTTTTCGACAAATCCGATAATAACTCGAAGACCGTGATAAGCCCAATCTATTTCTAAGGTGCGGGGTCTCGCGCGTATTGCTGTTACGATTTCCGAGTGACAGCATAGTATTAGTTATTATCGGTTGTTTGGTCGAAAAAGAATACCTACCACGCAGTGTGCAGAGGGCTGTGCAGTGTGCGATGTACAGCCCTCTGCAAACTGCGTGATAGGTATTCTTTTTTCGACAAAACGCGAATACTATGCTATTGGCCACTCGGAAAACGTAACAGCAAGACGTGCGAGACTCCACACCTTAGATTGGGCTTATTTTGGTATACATTTTCCAGCTAGTTTGGCAACAATACAAGAAAGTTTATATCTGCCCCCAAAACAAACTTTTGCATTTTGTTGCTACACTAGTTGTATAATTCGTTCAGTGATAGAACCAATCGAAAGAGTGGAGCATGGCGCATCTTTATGCAATGAGATCCGACCGACCGATAACTTAGTCTTTGAGTTATTCTCGGTTTTGTCGAAAAAAGAATACCTACCACGCAGTCTGCGGAGGGCTGTACATCCTAGTGCTAGCTTCGTTTCGACTGATGGGCGACTTCACGTTTTCCGTACAGTATTAGGCATTCGTTCAGCCTTCCTCATGCTGAATGGCTATCCTTGCCTAGTCAATCGCAAATGCTATTTTAAAAAAAACCATACACACATAAGAAACAATGTATTATCACCACGTTATGTTTCACTTTCAATATATCACAGTAGCAGCACCAGTCCCCTCTAAACCTCGTTTGGGAAGAAAAGCCGCATCGTGTTGGCATAGACCTGTTCCGCCAGTGCATCGGCGTCTTCCTCTCGCACACCTGCTAAGACGTCAAGAACTTGCCTGTAAACAAAGAAAAATCACGGGCCTATGTCATTCAATGCCTCTGATAACACTTGAAACTGAAGACACCTGAAACTGAAGATAGGCATAATTGGTGAAGTCGGCTCAATCGTCAAAGAAAACATTGAATTTTGTTACAAACGTGCTCAAACGGCCCGGCAAAGCCCAATAGAAATATGCGAGTCAAACTGACCCTTTCTTAGCCTGCTTCCACCACACATGTGCGCTGAAATACTTGCATTGTAATTCTTCAGCCCAGAGAAATGACACCACACATAGTTAAATTCCCATTCGCCCGAGCGCCAGCGTCCCCCCCCCTCCCCGACCGGGGATGAGCTCACGTGATGTTGGCCGGCTCGTTTCGCCCTTTGACGGGTCGGTCGGGCTGCCAGCGCTCCTTCTTCAGGGGCGCGGCGTCGGCCGGCGTCGGCCGCAGGTGCGCGCTGCCGGCGTGCGTGGGCCGCACCTCGCACCAGGGCGCGTCCGTCTCCAGGAGCAGCCGGTCGGCCGGCAGCGCCGCCGCCACAGAGAGGTTCTCCGCCGTCTTCAGCGAGCTGCGCCAGGAAAAACGGCGGCACGGCGGGTCAGGGTGGGCGGGACCCAGCGGAATCATACACGACTCTCAGGATAAATTACTGCAGCCTGGAAAGGAGAGTATGACAGAAAAGTTGATGAGTTTAGACAGTGGGAAATGCCGCCCTGGATTGCAAATTGCAATCACCTACTTTGATATACAAATAAACTCAGAACATAAATTATTGAACAATTATTGTGTCGTTCACAGCCAATATGGAATGGTGATCCGCGGTTCAGGCAGTGGTGATTGAACGCCGGTACACATTGGGCGGTGAGCCTCACCATCCGTTGATTCCGATGTGATATCCCAGCGCCATGATCTGCTCAGCCTCCTCCGTGCTGCCATCGAACGAGTGGACCACGCCGCCGTGACACTTGCCGGCGTTAGTTCGCAGCACGTCCACCAGGTCGGCAGCACTGGCGCGGCAGTGCAGGAACAGCGGCAGTTTCGAGCTCTCACTCAGACTCAGCTGCCGCTCAAAGTACCTGAGAACACGATCAGGAGTAACTGCCGGATTCGTAAGACACAATTAGTAATCACCGACACACTCAATGCACGGCACCAGCTCATCTAATATCAATAAGGCCAACTGGTTGCGGTTTGCGAGTGAATTTGTCGTATTCGTACCTATACCTGATGGCACAAATGGTATATTGATTGGCATTGGTGGTTAACGGCAGCAGAAGCCATTTTAATAAAATATAGCGCAGCCAGCTGATCCCAGTACCTGATCACCAAATATGCTAAAAATACTGTTCACTTGACCAAAAGCCATTAATGATTACGGCGTAAAGTATAACGTCATTTAATAATAAAGCCGCCGATAACGGCTCAAATTACCCACACATCTACCATCGCCACGGTATTGACTCCGACTGCCCCGCCGGGACCTCGCTCGTTCCGCCCACCTGCGCTGCGTGTCCCTGTCGCAGAACTGGAGCCGGTCGTAGTCGAGTCCACACTCGCCCACGGCCACCACGTGCCGCCGGTTCTGCTCGATCAGCGTCCGCAGCGCGTTCAGGTGGCGCTCCGGGTCGCCGGAGTCGTCGAACGCGCCGCAGCGGGTCGGGTGCACGCCCACCGTGGTGAACAGCCGCTCCTCTGGAACAGGAGAGCGGTCAGCGCCGAGCCAGAGCAGGCAGGGCAGTGGGCTGCACGCCCGGAGAGAGGTGCCGCCAGGCGCTGGATAACAGGTGGGGCTGTGTAGACGCAGTGCAGTGGGACGGCGGATGTCATAAAGTGACTATATGTGTATGCTCCTGCGCCAGCCCCCGGCGCCAACCGTAGCCCGTACGAGCCGCCGTCTACCCTGGCCCGCCCAGGTCACACATAGCCGGCGGGCGGGACCGGCGACTGAGGCGCCCTGGGCCGACCCGGCCGGAGCCGCCTGACCGCACCCCGGGTCAGCCCCTCTGTTCTGTCTCGACCACGTCACAGACCGGAACAGCTATTTCTGAACTTTCCATAGGACATAGACCCGGGAACAGGGGGAGGGGGCAGCGGGGGCGCTTGCCCCCCCCCCCCAACTTGGGAGCCGAGGGGGCGGCGCCCCCTCAACATTGAGACAGCGAGAAAAGGTCTTTCCTCCCTTTTCCGGACTTCTTTCCTTCTTGTTTCCTTTATACATCTAAACATCAACACACGGCATTTTCCTTGCCATCTGAATGGTTTCTGCTGATACAGTACCGATTTGACATCTGCTATTGTCATCCCGCTTTGATTTGGGCCTGACCTTGGCCATAAGCTTGGCAGACCAGTTTTATACTGGACCATTTTGACTCTTGAGTCAACTTTGAGAAATGCATAACGTACAACGGTGGTAAAATCGTTGCTATAGGTACTCGTATAACACAGTTTATCCCTCCGGGTGTGAGGGAGGGGTGTGGGCCGGGCAATGAGTGCACTGACGTGGCGCCCTCGGTATGGGATGGATTTGCATGGGATACATTAGAGGGCCGGTATGGGATTAAAGCTCAGCGACACTTAGGGCTTATGTGGTGCCTTCCGTTATCGGCAGCACCCTCAGAATCACCGGCGTAGGGCCCTCAGAGCCGCCGGTAAGGGGCCTTTAGACTTTAGAGGCACCGGTGTGGGGCCGTTATGCAGGTGCCGGTGTGGGCGCTCAGAGGTGCTAGTGTGATTCTCTCAGAGGCGCCGATGAGGGTCCTTACAGGCGTTGCTGTGGGCCCTCATAGAAGCTGGTGTGGAGCCGTTACAGACGGGTGTGGGGGCTTTAAAGCTGCTGACGCGAACTCTCTACAAGCCGGCAGGGGGTCTCAGTGACCGGCAAGGGGTCCTTAGGCCGGTAGAAGAAGTCCTGTGGGGTCCTTAGAGACCGGCATGGTACTGTCAGACGCCGGTGGGGCCCTCAGACTCACCGGTGTGGGACCCTCAAAAGTCACCAGTGGGTGGCCTTCAGATGCACAGGTGTTGGTTGGGTCCTCAGAGCCGCCGATACAGGGCTTAATTTTAATAGGCACTGGTGTAGGCACTCAGAGTTGGGGGTGTGAAACCCTCAGAGACACCGTTGTGGGCCCTCATAGGCGCCGATGAGGGTCCCATAGTTGCCGTTATGGGGCCCTCAGAAAAATAAGTGTGGGACCATCACAGGCGGGAAATGCCTCTAGAACTGGCCCCTCATAGGCCGGTAAGGACTCTCAGAGGCCAGTAACGGGCCTTTGGACTTTGGAGACCACCGAGGTGCCCTGAAAAGGCGCAAGAGGCGCTCAGAAGCCGGCGTGGGGCCCTTATGGAGATCTTAGTGTGGCTATTTAGGGCCCATGAGGTGCTCTAACGAGCCCCATGGGGCGGTCAGCGGTTTGACCTTCAACGGTCAAATGGCGCCGCAGAGCCACTCGGACCCGAAGGTCCCTTTGAACCCGATGGGGGGGGGGGGGTACGTGTTCCCCTAGACCCCTAGCTACGCCACTGTTTCATATGCATCATGTCAAGTATTTTAGGCTCGCCCCCCCCCCCCCAACTTGAAAATCGTTCCCGGGCCCCTGCCATAGGACCTGGAATTAGTTCACAAATTCACTGGTAAGTGGTATCAGGGCTGTGTAACCGAATATCACCGAAAAGCCAATGTCAACTGACTGCAGTGCAGTAGCCATTAGCCAATAAAACTTGTAAGCGTGGCCTACTCTACGAACGTGTGCTCTAAAGCTAAGAAATCGTCAGCTCTGCTGTCGCAGCGTTCTGAAAAATTATGAAGTACTAATAATATCCATAGACAATATCAAAATCAATAATTTTCTTATACATTGCAATGCTATTCAATTCAATGTAAGTATCAATAATTATCGTATGTTTGGTTATATTTTTGTAAAATTTTGACATGTGTAATTAGGTAAGTTAAAGGTAGTGTGCCAGCTTTCTTGGACCGTATGGAGTTAATGGCCCAGATAAGGAGAACCGGATTTTTAGAACTTATCCATACCTTCAAAACTCATGGAAACGTCTTAAATTCTTCAAATTTTGAGTACCCCAGTGCGAAATTCGCCCCGACGGGTTGTCGGTCGTACCCCAACCACATTTCACACCACTATGAACAATAAATGCACACACTGAAATCGCTATTACCGATATGCTCATCCAATCAAGTTTCGATAAACCCGTTCATCATCATCTCCTGCGGTTTCGAACACGCCTGTTAGGTGGCTTCTGATGCTCGTCGAGGTCGGAATTTCCAAATACGCGTGGTGCGTCGGGCCGCGCGCTCTGACTTCGGCCAGGAAAAATGCGTCAGCTGATCATTGTCATTTCTGCCACTTGCGTGTGGTGAAATGGGGTCATAACTTATAAGACGGCTTTTTCATATCAATTATTTTACATAAAATCATATTTCAAACCATAAATAATGTTCGACAGACAGCCAAATAAAAGAAACAATACAATACGGGCTTACAGTTTAAGGCTCGACATTGTGTTGTCTACGATTAGACAGCTGATAACTCATTCCCGTACGTCGTATGGTCGTAACACTATAATGACCTTTGCTTATTGTCACAAGTGCGCCGCATTCGCGATTGTTGCCCGACGCCTGTTTGCAGAGGGCTGTTCACGACGTCGGTTTATGTGGTTTACATAAACTGCCCTCGGGGCACGTTCCCGGCTGTGACGTCACACGGCGTTTACGTTTACGAAACACGAGTGTTTACTTAAACAGTGACAACTAATAAGCAGTTGAGAAGATACTGTAAAAGGTGCAAAGAAAAGACAATCTGATGGAAATATGTCCCATATCATGACATAATGCAAGAATAAGGACAGTTTTCATCACAAAATTACCCACGACGCTAGACGCTGGTTAGCAGAGAACGATGCTCAAAATAGGTCTTAATTACAATGAAATAACAAAACTTCCCATTCCAGTCCTCTGTAACCCGTACAGGGTTATTTTGAAACTCATTTACCCACCTACCAGCCCCTGAACTGTCCGAATTCATTTTTCCTAACTCACAACTCGCTTCACGAGTTTGCCGCACATCGCCATCATTGTCACATAAACGCGTTTACGCGCCATGTTGATGCTCTGAGGCATCAACCGCATAAACGGTTTACGGCGGAGGTCTGACGTCATTGACGAGATGTGACGTCAGGATCAGGTCGACGCTGATTGGTCCTACAAAAAATAAACATGTTTACGGTTTATTAAACGGGATAAACCGACGTCGTGAACAGCCCTCAGGTGAGCCCACTACAGTTGTTATACATATCTAAAAACCGAAAAACTTTTAGGCGAAAAAGGCACTATTCCAGGCCCATTTTTGATTTTTTTGCGATATTAGGTAAAAACATTAAACAGAAGCTTCTTATCCTAGGAAAAATAAAATGGGAAATCTTTCAAAGGTGGCACACTACCTTTAAATTTTCATGTCATGCGGATGTTCGGCTGCGACCAATCAGAGAACCGGCCGGCCACATCTCCACCAATGAGGACGCCGCTTATTCTGACCAATCAGAGCTCGCGCCGGCCGACCGACCTCGGGGTCGGAACGCAGCCGAGTCGCCATATTTGTTTGGCGTTGGTTTGGCGTGTTTCAATGGGATTGGGGGCGGCTGCTTCGATGATGCGGTAAGAATGTTTATTTTATTCAACGTTTACAAATGACGTGCCCTAGCCATGCTTTGATATTTTTTTTTTTTGCTGTAGTTTGTTTCATGATTGCATATGTACTGTCATCTCTTTTTTTTCTTATTTCGAAGTAGAGTTAAGTCGTTTTGCGTTATGGTGTGGCGCTAGTAGGTACAGTTGCAGTGGGTCTATTTAAGATCTCCAGAGCCACCAGGTGGCGCTACGTTCGGGGTAGGTACTACTATGGACGTCAAACCCCTTGAGACCCTACTTTTTTGCGATAATTTTAAAATGCGTCAACTCTCGTTGACAATATTCTGGCAATGTGTGTTTCAGAACCTGCCGAAACTTTTATTACCAAGGTATTTTGACGCCAAACGATTATGAAAGGTACTTCTCATTCACTCGTAATGTTAAATTTCACGGAACGAATCTGCTGTTTGGGTAGAGGCTACGCGCTCATGGGGCGGAGCCACATAATGACGTCAGCGCTAAGCTCCGCCCTACCCCTCCGGCGCTCCTTGCCCGGCGACCGCACAGTGGCCCTTTTTCAGAATTAGCACGCATAAATTCAAAATATTTTTTCTCTTCTTTTGAGTAAAAAGCAGTCTAATCGTGTGCAAAACATTCCAAACTATCCGATGGTGCCATTTTTACCTCCTAAAAAATAATTATCTTTGGTAAAACTGACCGCAAAATCGAAGTTTGTCGAGAGGCGCGCGGACACCACCGGCGGACCCTAAAAAGTAGGGTGAGATGAACATCAATTTGTAAGGCTTTCGGTGAGAAAATATTAAAAATTAGTGGCATGGGTGTGAAGCTGAGTTTACGTAGAAGCCCTAGAAACCACAATTTTCATTGTATAAACTTAGATAGACCACTTTTGCCGAATATTGTGGACACAATAACAGGACAATTATTAACTGGAGATGGCGGCATACATATGAAGCTTTATGTTAAGTAGCACACTCTGGAACATGTCGTATTATACATCGTTCGAATCGCCGTTCTCTTCTGACCATGT